AAAATACACTGTTTGTAGGGGCAGTTTTTAGGTGTTCAGAGCTTAGAACAGCACAATAGAAAGATGTGCCAGGCAAGGTGTTGAAAGTTATCCCTCAGGGCACAAATCCATCCAGAGCCCTGAGCTTTTGTACATGATCAGGTGGGGTTTTCTATGAGCTGGTTGCAAACTAGGCAGAGCTTACAAGTACTGGGAACTACTTATATGTGGGGGATTTTTTTTTCAAAACTGAATGCAAGAACTACTGAGGCAAAAGAAGGAAGTGGGAGACTGCAATCTGTTTTGAAGCAGCTAAGCCTTGGGTATTCTGCTCTTTATCTATGAAATAAAGCGTGATAAACAGGTTTGATTTTCATTACCTCCGAACCCAGTTTTGACTGGGTGTATAAAATTGTTCCACTGGACTAACTTTCCTGTGTTTTTCTTCAGGTGTGCTGGAAGCTTCCTTGAAAAGATTTATTCCTTCATCAGGTATTTTTGTTTACATACAATAAATGTGCATTTAGATGAACATAAGCATGGTCACCAGCACCACCAAGTGGGAATTGAGTTCTAGAGATGTGAATGTTGTCACTGCCCTCTCAAAAAAACCCAAACAAATCACCCCAATCAGGTGTTGGGTAAACAGGATGATTTATCCCTCTGTCTTCTTTCCCTCACGTTGTAAGTACCTGAGATTGCTGAGGTTCCCACTTCCATAGCTGAAGGAGGGGGAAGGTTCCAAAGCAGGGGTAGAACAGCCTCTGTAAATCAAAACGATTTGGGCTAAAACTGCTGCCTTGGAGGCAATTCCTTTACCAAGCAGCTCTGGGCAGGTTTCATTGCTCTGGCAGAATGTGGGACTTCTGAAGTCTTTCTTTCCTGGGGAAACATAGCAATTTTCTGGTTTTCCTCAGAGCTCAACTACAGATGGAGGTGGAAGGTACTATGTTGGATTGTCAAAACACTGTTTTCTCTTGTTCCCAAGCCAGTGACAGCAGGTCTGAATGGGTGGCTTCCTGTGTCTAGCAGTTGCCGAAATATCTTAAGTAGAGAGATTTAATTCCAGGAGCTGGGGTCTTGCTTTTTGAAAACATTCACTGTATTGTCAGCCTCCTCTGTCACACACTTGCAGCCCTAAGCAATGTGGATGCTTTCACTGTGTTCTGAATGCTGGCCTGATAACTCTTAAGGAAGAGTAAATACAGTTTTTCCTGCTATTGTTTTTTATATCTGCTTTTTAATTCCTAATTTATGTCCCTGGCTTTAGTCACCTGCCTTCCAACCTGTTGTTAACCTGAGATCTCGGGTCAACTGGCATTTACCTATGGATCAGTCCGTGCAGTCCTGTGTGTTTTGTTTGTCAGATCCCCCAGTAGATTGGTTTGGTGTCTGCAGAGGGGCAGCTTGTAAGGAAAGGAGCCCGCAAAAAGTGCCAGGAGCGTTTTTGTCAGGTGAAAGTACTGTCAGGCTTCGTTATTCACACTCCATTATGTGCAAAAAAATTCTGGAGGCTGCTGACAGATGGGATTTGTTGCAGCAGTTTGGTAGCTCTTGGACTACTGAATGTTACAGGTAACAGCAAACTCCTGTCAGCTAGAGCTGTGCAGGTAGGAGATACAGTTAAGGTGTGCCCCCAGGAAGCTGTTGAACAGTCTGATGCATTTAATTTTTTCCTTACTGTTATGATGGATGGTGTTGCTAATGGATTTGCTTCCTAAATTTCATGAATGATGCATTTGTTTTCTCTTTTTAGAATCTGCTGCGGTCCCACCAATTCCCAATGAACAGCAGTTGGCCAGATTGACTGACTACGTGGCCTTCCTTGAAAACTGATTACCCTGCTCCTGTGTTCAGAACAGCCTGGGAATCCTGTGTGCTGCGAGTTTTAGCAATCTCAGATTTATTTTATTCTATATCTGTTAAACATTGCAATGTCCCCTACTCAAATGTGTGAAGTCTCTAGTGTATGTTGGCCCAGCTCCTGTTTTGCCAAAGCCCAGCTAGCAGTAGAAAGACCCCTTTAACTCCTGTAGTATTTATTCAGTGGGTACACAGCAGTATTACACATGAAATTTTTGTGATAACCGATAGCAGCGAGAGACAGAACTTTTTTCAGGTATGTTAGAAATGGAGAAGAAACAACTCTGGTGAGTAGTGCAGTGCTTAGCACAGAGCTATTGCATGTTGACCTAAAGCATAAAGAGTGGAAGACTGCCCACCCTATCTGCAGAGAGAAATGATATTGAATATTGAATACATTTTAATATTACTGAATGAAAACAAATTTACAGTAACTCTCTGGTAAGTAGTTTTGTGCCCTATTTATCATTGATTTTTTTCTTGTGCTCTCTGGGTTGTGAAATCTTTGATGTGAGAAATTTCACATCAGGCGTATTTTTACAGCAGAATAATTGGAATTGTTCAAGAAAGGCAAATCTACACTTTGAGGATGAATTTTGACTTCTGGAAGGTTTTATTTGAGTGTCAGAGGACACCATATGTTTTGCTGGGTAACTCTACACCTTGAGGTTAGTCATATCTTGGTTCTTCTCAGCACACTGGGCCAGGATCTACAAGAAATAACAACCCTTAGCTGTCTTTAAGCTTTCTGCATTACCTCTGCAGTTACTGGAGAGGAATTTAAAGGTTAAGTGGGACAAAGAGCAGCTGGGAGGGGATAATACGTTGTCCTGCAGTGTCAGTTTGAGGAACGTTCTCTGTGTTGGAGCAGTGCTGTGTGGATTTTAGAAGCAAACATAACTTTCATTCCCATTTGTGTTATGTTGGTAAAAAGGCTTTGGAAAAAGAGTGGTGCTTTAAAAGGCAGCACATGCCTTCTTTACTTCTCCCCCATTTCCTGTTCAGGGGTTTCATGGAAGCTGGCACGTGTGCCCTCTGTTACGATTGTTCCCCCAGTGGGCACTGCCCACTGTACATTCTCTTGGTGGGGGTGTGTTAGCAGGGGGAATTGTAAACTGTGTTCAGCTGCCTTGAGAGCTCCATTTATATGGAAACACTTTCTCTAAATGATTATTTATTTGAAACCCACTCAAGACTTGGATTTCTAAATTTATTGTGAGTGATACTAAAGAACATCTTTACTCTGACCTTGTGTACCTGATTTTTTAAGTTCTCCTTAGAGTACTGTTCTGGTTTGGTGAGTTTTTAAATTAATTCTCACTGGTCTAATTTGGATGGCAATAGGCAGTATAGAAATATCATTGGCTGTGCCATGATGGAGATGGTCACCTCCAAAACAGGGACATGGACAAGGCAGAGGTGTTTAACCCTTTCTTTGCCTCTGTCTTCAACACGGATGATGGACCAAAATGGGAAGGGAGGGAGTCCCCAATAACACCTCCCGCCCAATTTTGGGGGTCCAGGGTGTCTCACCCCTCCCTTTTTGTGCCCCCTCCCACCGGGCGTGGGAGGCGTGGCTGCCTCACGCTTTAAGGAAGATAATTTAAAAAATTAAAAAACAAAATTAAAAATATAACGACAACAGCTGAGGGGGGTGAGCGAGACTGCAGTGCCACTCAAGGCCATGTTTGCCAGGGCCGCCTGCGGGGCTGGGACCGGGTTGGAACCTGTGGCTCTGGAGAACGTTGCTTTTCCCAGGCCGGCGCCTAAACTGCTTGGCCACCGGGCAGGGTCGGTAAAGCTGCCACGCGGGAGGGGCATCCCAGCCTTACACGGACTTTAGGAGAACGATAATTGAAAAATGAAATTAAAAAAATATAACAAAAATACATTAAAAAAGAAAATTAAATAAAATAAAAAAGCCAACTAACTCCCAGGACGTATGCCAAGGCTGCCGGGCTCTGCTGGGAGCTCCCCTGGTGGGAGGAGGGCAGGCGGCAGCCCCGAGCTGGGCTGTGCTGGGGGGCTGTGCTGGGGGGCTTGTGCTGGGGGGCTTGTGCTGGGGGGCTGTGCTGGGGGGCTGTGGGGCCGCTCTGGCCGCAGGGCTGGGCAGACGCGGGGCAGGGCTGGGGACTGTGCTGGCCCAGCCTGCTGCCTGTCTGTCCCTCTCAGTTCCCGTGCAGAGCAAAAATGTCCCTGCCCGGCTGGCGGGTGCCCCGCAGAGAGAAGAGCCCGGCCCTGAGGAGGGCCAGCGTTGCTGTGACCCGCGGTCCGTGTCACCTGCCCTCGGCACAGTCCCCACAGCTCCCTTCGCCAGGAGCATCCAGATGAAGGATCCGGGAGGGTTGTAGCTTCTCTTTAGCAGGAGGTAAGGAAGAGGAGGGAGTGCAGGAGGGCTGTTTTCCAGGCAGGGAGGCAGAGGGAACAGGGAGGATCACAGCTCCCAAGCAGCTCTGTCAGTGCTGAATGGACTCAGGACTGAGAAAGGTCACTCGGGGTTCAGGGCTGGGGAGAGACCGGGATGGCCCTGGGAACCCTGGGGCACTCAGCTGCAAAGATGTGCTCCTACAGCCCCAAACTGAGGAGGCTAAAAAGGAACTTCTGTTTTTCATGGAAACCCTCCTGTTATTCCTTGTGCAGTCTTGGAATTCTGTTGAGGGATTTCCTGTCTAGTATCTCTCTAACAAAACCAGTAAGAAATTTAGAGGGAGGATTCAAATTTGGGTCAGTTCCCTACAAACTCCTGCAAAGCCTGAGGGACTGGGGTGACGACTGCTCTCAGCAAAGGTGATTTATTACTATTCTGTCGCATTTCCCTCAGCTCTGAGCAGGAAAGCCAAGGGTTAGGATCAGGAACTCTGCAAGCAAGGCCTGTGTGCCTGCGGATTTCTTGTGTGTATGGCAGGGCTGGGACTGGAGGTGTTGCTGTTCTGAGCCGTTTCCAAGGTGTGATCAGAGAAGGTGGACAATGTCCAGGGATGCTGAGCTGGGCAGGAATAAACACGGAGCTGCAGAGATTTGGGTGCTGCTGGGAACTTGTCACCTTCCAGTCGAGCATCTGTGCCCAGCATCCCCCCTCTGGGGGTGGTTCTGGCTCTGGGTGGGCAGGGGGGGCAGCAGGATCCATGGGAATGGAGTGAAGAATCCCCAGGACCATCCCCCAGATGTGGTGCCAAGTATCCCGAGGGCTTTGCTGGGGATGGAGTGAGGAGAGCAGCATTGAGCTCCCTCCATTCTTCTGGGTGCTTTCCCACAGCCTGGAGCCTCCTGGCTCACAGCATTCCCTTTAAGAAGGGAGGCAATGGAATGTTAGGAGGTTTTTTTCCCTGCAATATTTTGAGGTAGTGCTCTGAATTACTTTATTTCTGTCTTGCTTCCAGTGGTGCATTCCCTTACAGTCCCACAGCAGCTCTTGGGCACTGCAACTGCCAGATGTCCCTCCGTACTGGGGAACAGGCAAAAACCCCAAGGCAAAGGACAACTCGGATTTTGGAAATGGAGAATTTAATGGTATCAGTTTGAGCTGTGTCAGTTCATTGAATGCCAAAGGAAAATCCAGGACTCCTCCAGTGGGAGTGTTTTTCTCAGAGGTATGTAAACACAGGCACAAGATTTTAGCAGAAAGAGAGTTCCTGAGATTTGGGGTGGTTTTTCTAGTTCCTTCTATCAGTTTTCCCTCTCTCAGTCCCACCGGCCGAGCAGGAGGAGCAGCAGTGGCACAAGGGCTGGAGCTGTTGGCTGGGTCTGGGAGGCCAGATTGCCATCCCAGTGCAGCCTGACCTGCAGCCTCCCAGGGGGATGTCCCTGCAGCAGCGCCCGGGGAAGGGAGGAGACATCTCCTGGCACTGCTGGAGCCTGAGCAGGAGATGAGGCCCTATCCTCGGGGACATTCCCTGTGCCGTGGGGCAGCCAGATGGGAGCTGGGGGGGACTCCAGCCCTTTGGGGGGGCTGCCCTGCCCTCCCTTGGTTTGTCCCTCTTTTTTCAGTTGGGATGTCCGTGTGTCAAGGGCTTTCTGGAAGCACCGAGCTGCTGGTCAGGGCAGCTGGACTCCTTTTGGGCCTTCTTTGGGGGTAGGGGAGTTGGGGGGTGATGGTATCATTAGGGGCACCCCAGTGTCACTGGGAGAGCCATGGTGGGCTGGAGTGAGATGAGAGGGGTCATGCAGGGTCTCCCCAAAAATGGAGGTGACAGTACCCAAAATGCCTGAAAATTCATGGGGGAGGGGTGTGTAAAATCCTGGAAGTGGTAAACTTTCTCATCATTGCAGGTATCGAGAAATAATATAGGTGCTGTAAAAATTGGTTCCAAAATAAACCCTCCTATTTGCTGTATTATAGACAGGATTTTAGACTGTAATCAAGTCTGAATACAGATTCAAGTCTGAATACCAGCACCCTGGGGGTGCTGGTCAACAGAGCCTGAACCTGAGCCAGTGGGTGCCCAGGTGGGCAAGAAGGCCAACGGCATCCTTGCCTGCATCAGAAATAGTGGGGCCAGCAGGATCAGGGCAGTGATTTTTCCACTGGAATGGTCACTGGTGAGGCCACACCTGGAGTGCTGTGTCCAGCTCTGGGCCCTCAATTCAGGAAGAACATTGAGGGGCTGGAGTGAGTCGAGAGCAGGGCAGTGTTGCTGGGCAAGGGGCTGGAGTGCATGTCCTGTGAGGAGCAGCTGAGGGAGCTAGGGTTCTCCAGCCTGGAGAAGAGGAGGCTCAGGGCTGACCTTCTCACTGTCCACAACTTCCTGGCAGGAGGGTGGAGCCAGGTGGGGCTCAACCTCTTCTGTGATGCAATAGGACAAGAGGACATGAGGACTTGCCTGTCAGGGGATGTTTGTCAGGGACAGGAGCAGAAATTTTTGGGCAGAAACAGGGATTAGGTATTGACATGGGATGTCCAGGGAGGCGCTGGAGTCACCATCCCTGGAGGTGTTTAAGGGAAGAGTGGACATGGCACTTAGTGCCGTGGTCTGTCTGACATGCTAGGGATGGATCGTAGGCTGGATGCCGGTTGATCTCACAAGTCTCTGCCAACCTTATGGATTCTGGGCTTCTGTGCCATGCCAGCCTTTGGGACAGCGAGCTGGTGGCTCAGAGGCTCCATCTTTGCATTGCCTTGCCCATTTCCTGGCTGCCAGGCAAGGGCCTTGTGACATCACAGCCTTTGTGGAACAGTGCAGTGGCTGAAAACTGTCAGCCCTCTGTCCCCGTGCACAGGGTCTGGGCAGAAGTCTGCTGGGAGGGAGGTCAGAGATTGTGCAGAGGTGTCAGCTCATCCCACAGCAGGAGGATGCCCAGCCAGGGGATCTGGCTCCTCAGGCTCTCTGTGCTCCTGGTCTTGCCTGGCACACTCAAGCCTTGCAGCCATCCCACTGGTGCCATTGCTGATAACCGGGGTTTTCCTGCATAGTGCCTTGCCATAAAAGGCAGGAGAGGCTGGAG